AGGAAAAAGAAAGATTTATTACATATCCATGGGCACATATTTCCCTATGTCAAACAATCCAAGACATAATACTTCTACAATGGTTCACTTAAGGGACCGTTTGCCCGATTCCCAATCAGATCAGCCAATGTTCCCTTCAAACACGATAATGTACACGAATTACTCAATGGATTTTCAGCCCTCGGATTCAAGCACATCACAGCAAGAAATACTCTTGAATTTCAACCAATGGAAAGACAATAGGGAAGAGATTCTAATGATGCAATCGGCTAGCCAAAATTCAAATGTTCAAGGATTGTCACTTAGCCTCAGCACAAACGTGCAATCCGTATTACAAATGCCGTCAATTCATTACAATAATCCTGATTTTTCTTCTGTTTTAAGCCATGATGGGATGATTACTAGTGATAGTGGAGATGGCTATCACGTGAAGCAAACGAGGGATGAGGATTATGTGCTTCCGAGCAGTAGTTCTAATACGGGTGTAGTGGCGAATGAGGTGGCGCCATTTGGCAGGGCAGTTCCGGATTCGAAGTACTTGAGGGCGGCTCAAGAGTTGCTCGACGAGGTTGTTAGTGTGAAGGACTTTAGGGAGCGGAATGCGAAAAAGGAAAACTTGAAGGACTCGAAAGAAAATGAGGGGGATTTGGGAAGTCCTTCGGGTACGCCTAAAGCGAGTGGGAACTCTTCGTGCGAGCTCTCTGCGGCTGAAAAACAGGAGGTGCAGAGTAAAATGTCGAAGCTTTTGGCAATGTTGGATGAGGTGAGGATAAATTCTTTCTTCTTCTTCTTGTTTTTTTTTTTCCTATTTTTCTTACCAATAATGCTAGTGGCTTGCAAAATGCAAAGTTTTTTTTTATCATATTCCAATTCCACAGATTGTGATGTTTTTTTCCTTAATATCTCACATTTTGCTCAAACTGCTGAAAGATAAATACAGAACAATTAGGATTTTAGTTTTTCAAATGTCTATTCTAGTGGTTACTATATATGACTTTTTTTGCATCTTGTAGTTCCCAAAATACATCTTGTACTATTTATAGGCATCACTAACATGCACAAATTTCCACTTTTGGCACATCAATTCTAATCCTGATTCTATCATTCTATAGAACATAGAGTTTCTAAAGGTTAAGAAAAAAAAAAATTGTAAAGACTTTAGGGGNTTTTTTTTTTTGATAATTTGATATAATTTTGAAAAAGTTGATTGGGTAAGGTTTGAGTGAGGTTTTTACTTTTGAGGTTGTATTAAAAAATATTTAAAATATAATAATTAAAGTTGATTTGATGTGAAAGTATGAGAGAATTGATTGGAAGTAATGAGTAGTTAAAATTACGTGAGTGGATGAATATTGAATTAAAGTTGATGTGATGTGTGAAGTTGACTGATTGTTAGTTAAATTTTAGTTAGATTTTGAGTTAAGAAAAATTATCTGATTGTTAAATTTTTCATGGTAGATTTTCCAAAGATTGAAATATGGGTGGAAATAAAAATTTCAATGAAAATTGCACATTCCAACAAAACTTCTACGGTAATAAATCGTTGGAAAAAAATAGTTGTTTGAATCATCAAATTGCATCTAAAAGAAAATAACTCATTCCAACGGAAACGACAATACTGGAGTATCCATTGAAATTTCCTCTAAAATTTCATTTAAAATACATGTTTGTTAGGGAATTTTTCTGTTGGAATTTCATAATTTACTCCACCAACCAATCACAGGTCGACAGGCGGTACAGGCAGTACTACCACCAGATGCAAATTGTGGTCTCCTCGTTCGACATGATAGCGGGCCCCGGTTCTTCCAAGCCTTACACGTCACTAGCCCTTCACACAATCTCCCGCCACTTTCGCTGCTTACGTGACGCCATAAATTCTCAGATTCAATCTGCTCGTAAGAGCCTTGGAGAAGACGATGCTTCTTCTTCAGGCGATAATAAGGGAATAGGCATTTCAAGGCTACGTTATGTGGACAAGCAGCTCAGGCAGCAAAGGGCTCTTCAGCAGCTCGGAATTTTGCAGCAACACGCCTGGAGGCCTCAACGAGGCCTTCCCGAGACATCGGTTTCCATCTTGCGGGCATGGCTTTTCGAGCACTTTCTTCACCCGTAAGTGTGATTTGTGAGATTCTCGATTGATTGATTGTGAATATTATTAGGCGTAATTTTATTGAATGTTGTAAAAAAAATTTGTTGGTGGTTGTTTTGGTACTGTGTAGGTATCCAAAGGATTCGGAAAAGCTCATGCTGGCTAGACAGACTGGATTAACAAGAAGTCAGGTGAAAATAGATAGGATT